GCTGAATAGCATATGTGTTTGAAGCTTTTTCCTCCTTGTAAGGCTGCACAATAGCTAAACAGCTAAATATTATACCTAAAAAAACACTACTATAATTTGTGGGTTTTCAGCTATTTGCACAACAGACAACATTTTATTTATGCTTAAAACTAAGTTTATATCAATGCTTTCTCGTGCCATTAGAGGATTAGAAATTTGCTTTCTTAAAAGCTGAAACAATAATAAAAAAAAACAGAGTGGAATATTTGAACAATATTGCTGGCTTGGAGTCCATGTTATTAATACTGATGAGGAGACAGGGATAAAACTCCGTATATATAAAGAGAGACATACAGTATAACACAGACCTATCCCCACTCACATATGGCAGAAGCCCCAGTGCCTGCTGAGAGAAATACACAGTGCCATGTTTATGTATATACAACTTCAATTACAGTACTTAGGACACTTCCCTTAAATCCAATCCCCGGGAAGCCTGCCGGTCTGTCTCCTAGCACTAATGTCTCGCAGACCAATGACCTTGGCATAAAGACTTGAGTTATTGCCCTTTATAGTTTACAGGCTGCTCAGTTTTGTAAAGCCTTGTACAAAATCGACCCAAAAAAAAAAAAAATGCACCTCTATGTGACCCATAAGCACTTACGGAAGGGTAATCGAAGATAACTGTAAAAGTATTTAGAACCCAATATCTAAAATTGCTTAGAAAATGTAACACTTTATTGACATTCCAAAAGTCATTTTTTATAGTTTCTGCCACTTTCTTTAAAATAATATTTGGTGATCCTGCAATGAAGGTCCTTGTTAAGGCAGTTCCTGTTTTAGGGTCACAATGCTTTGTCTGTGTGTCCTAATTGTGCTCCTGCATTGTAGTTTCCATTGGCAGAGCCCGATCGGTTGACAAGTGGCCCTGCTGATATACGAGGGGGTATCAAAAAAGTAATGCCTCTTTCATATCTACTGCATATGACATAAATGCCCGATACATGTCATACATATGGTATAATCCAATCATTGTGTGCTTCTGTTTTTCAAATTTTACTAAGTGAATCATGCATGAGAGGTTAAAACAAAGAGCAGTAAAAGACTTTAACCACTTGCTGACCAGGTGTTTAGACCCCCGGGCCATTTTTCAGTATTCAGCGCTGCGGTACTTTGACTGACGTTTATTCCGTCATGCAACTCTGTACTGAAATTAATTTTATACCATTTTTTGGGGACACATAGAGCTTTCTTTTGGTAGTATGTTTGCATGCGTGTATGCGTGACGCATGTTTGCATGCGTGTATGTATGAGTGGGAACTTAAAAATTGTTTTTTTTTATTCTTTTTTATGTGCAACTTTAAATTTTTTGGGGGAAACTATTTTTTTTTTCACTTAACTTTATTGCTATCAGATAGGGGGCTAAGAAACCCCCTTATGTGATAGCAAAAGAAGTGACAGATCCTCTTTATGGAGACATCAGGGGTCTCCAAGACCCCTAATGTCCCCTAAGACCCCCCTGAAGAAGCTGATGAAGCAGAGATCTGCTTCATCAGCTTCTCTCCAGCGTCTGAAGCTGGAGAGTGACACTAGAATGCGGACGTGATGTAATATACATCACTTCTGCATTCTGACACCGGAGAGGGGACCGGAGGGAGTTTAAAAAAGGAGAAACTGCTGGGTGGCACAATTCAAGCTCTCCTCTTTCAAATAAATTCATATCTGCCAGATTGGCACAAATCTGCCAGATGATACCCATGTTCTGGGATGACCAAGACATCATTTTTAAGGCCTTTCAGGATAAAGGCACAACAGTCAAAAAGGGAAACCTATAGTAATACACTTCAAAAGCAGAAGGAAGCCATTAGGAAGATCACAGAAAGACATCCATGTCATACAGCTGCATCATAAGAATGGACGCCCATACACATCTTATGTCACCAGTCAGGTGATAGCCAAAATGTCAGTAGTTCCGCATCCACCCTACAGCCAAGACTTCTAACTCTTTGGCCGAATGAAGGATTATATTGGTACGAGATCTGAGGACCTGCAGAAAGTTAAAACAGTTAAAGTGGAGCAAAGAGTGCTCTGAAGACTTTTGCCGAACTGGAGTCGAGGTCTGGGTAAAAATATTGTGCAAATGCATCAAACATTATTGGGACTATGTGGAAGGGTAACTCTGAGTAGAGGAATGTATAGGCTAACTGTATGTATGCTCATTGTTCCCATGTCTGTATAATTAAACAATTCTATATCTCAAACAGGCCCCCTTGCACATTGCACAGACTGTTACCATCAGGAATGCACCCTGAGAAATTACATGCTGCAGTGACTGTAGAGAGACTGCAGTGCTGATACAAAGGATAATGAAGGTAAAACCATATGTTAATAAAACAATGACAATTGTTTATGATAGGCAACTCTTTAATAAAATGTCATTCAATTGGGGTTTACTACGGTCCGAGAACTCTCACGGTCAGAGAGAGCTTCACTAGACCCAGGAGATCCACACTCCCAGAAGTGTTCCCCTTCTGACCTCTGCAGAAGATTCCTCAGAAGCAGAGCAAAGTACAATGGGATGGCCATCTGAATGAAAACATCCACACAATCTGTGCTAAGGCAATACCAGACAGAGGTGTGGTTCACGGACTACTTCTTTGGCATACTTATGAAATGTCAACTGAGGAGTGTTCTTCCAACTTAAAAAAACATTTTGCTTACTAATGAATTCTTTCCAAGTCTGATTAGCACCTTAAGGCTACTATTTGCATACAGATCAAGCTTGTAGGCGAGTCAATGGCATGTGTTTAAATAGAGCAAGACCTCACATTTTGCCAACCGTACATAAAGGATAAACATAATGATTCATAAATGTGACGGGTAGAATTGCAAATGAGTAATCAATTAATCTGGTTAGTCGCAGTAACATGCTACGTCATTGAATTCCTTCTATATAAAATTACCTTGTGCCTGTAATCAGCAGCTATAAATCACCAACTATGTCATTTATACAAAGAGCAATATTTAAAAGCAGTGACCCCTGGAGTCACATTGCCCATGTATAACTACTACCCACCCATGCATGCATACCAGCACTGGGTTTACAATACAGCCTATACAGAATGAAACAGCTTATTCCCTCCTTCACAGCCTCTGTCTCCTACATTATCTGCTTCCTGAGCCAACAATAGGCTTTTCTGAACATATGAAACTGCTGAGTAGGAGCCTCAAGAACTTGTGTACAACATATAAGAGGACCCATTTTAGATTTTTGCACCAAAAACCTGGTGCTTTACATTTGACCTTGGCAGTAACCTATATCAACTAATCAGAAATCACCTTTTCCTGATCTAACTGTAATAACTAGAATATTACAGTTATTTCCTACTGCCTTTTGCACATTGTTACCCCTTTAACTGCCCTAATAAATAGGCACCACAGATCACCATCTACATTCCAAAGTAAAGTGACATTGTAGGACTGACAATGGTTATTCTAAAATGATGCATTAGCCACTTTTAGAGATGTGTAGAGATCCCTATTGAGCTTTATATTTATATTTCTTTTCAGCTTAATGGCATGTTTAGGAAAATTGTGTTAGCTTCTAGAAGTTTATTTTTTTCAGTTTTAGGCTGAATTTACTACAAATTAATTATAGCTGAGGACACTCTTATGGACAAAAAGGACATTTGACAATCACAGCATTATATTAAAACACAAAATACCCAAAAGAAAAGCAAAAACAGGGTTATCATACATAAATGATATATAAGAAAGTGTTAAAATTACACTTTACCCATAAAACACAAAGCGCAAACAAAACAAATAAGGAGAAGCAGAAGCACATACACAGGCCAGATACACTGTAGTTATTTGTAGTTGCTGTTACTTGTAACTATGCAGAACTACTTCAGCTATATAGAAACATTGTCTATTTGTATTGATCACAATCTGCCTCAAAAATGCTGTGCATAATTATCATTATCGAATACCGTATGCCAGAATGAGAATGATTACATAAAAATCTTCAAGAGCTCAGATAACAAATATCCTAAAATACAGTCTAAACGAAAAGGTTATTGCACTTTCAGCTCACAGATTGTATTCAGTTGAGCTAAGAGTTTTTTATTCTATTTGATTAGAGGAAAGCCAGAACGATTTATGGTCAACTAAGCTTTTGGACAATTGCACTTTTATTTTGTATTTTTCCTCCCTTTACAAGTTTTGTTTTGTAAATTTACCATGACACTACTTTTTTTGCTGAGCATGTTGGGCATCCTTATAATAAAGCCCAGCATTGGCTGCTCACTTAATTGTTCTATCCAAATGAAAACCCATACAGGTCTGCTAGAAGAGATCAGCTTGACAGACAGCAGCCGTGAGAGCGCCATCTACCTGCTGCTGGTGGCAAGCGCAATATTTCATATTCACTTGACTACAAAAAAACTACTTAAAAAAAACAAAACTATTTTTATTTGAATAATATTTTTAAAAAACCCACTAAAGATTTCCTTTGAAGTTATGTTCTCATAGCCCCATCTGCACACAATCAGCAATATAATACTATGGGTTTCTATCATGACCGGTTTCCTTTGAGACTATGCCCCTGTCAGTCTTAGAAGGTACTCTTATGGGTGTATTTATGAAAAATATGCAGTCATTTGTCCTGCGAAATTGCATGTACATTTGTTCTGCGTGAATAAAAAGGGAAAAACAAATGTTATTTGTTTTATTCTTTCAAAGGTCGAATGTAATCTCAGTAAAATACTGCATTATGGCCTAGGTGGAGCTAAAGAACATAGGAAATCGATTTTTCTTTGAACAAAAACAACAACTTTTCTCTAGTAAATTAATTTGTTTTTACCCCATTGATGTGTACCAGAGATTATTGGGATCTTACTTGATTTACCAGTGACTAAGCAATATATTAGAATCAGTTACTGTGGCCTGCATAGTAAACACTGTTGCAGTGCCATAAATATCAGAACACAGAAAGACAATAGTAAGCATGTCAGTCTGACCTGCTGCCCTCCATGTCTTCCAGCTCTTGATGAAGCCGGGCGCTCCTCTCTTCCTCCTCTTGCAGCCTCCGTTTCACAGCACGCAGCTCCTGCTGAGTTTCACATTTAATGTCGTTGGCAACCACCACTGCTGTCTGTAAATCGGCTTGAAATCGCTTCCATTCTTCAGCTTCCTCCTGTAAGAACAAATAGTTAGAGGTTGTCCAGATCTTACGGTTATATATGCATCCTCACTTTATCAGATATTATGGTCCTGTCCTAACAACAAAGGCAAACCCAAGTTTGGAAATCATGTCACAGGAGAAATGCACTCCTCGTATTCCATTGCCAAAAAAGATTGAGAATTACATGCAGTCTCTTTAAAGCCTTCTCATCAATGTTGCTTACTTATCCTCCTGCCCAGATGCCCATGCTGCACCCTTAGTTTAATATCTTGTTCAGCAAGACAAACACTCCTAGAAAGATTGGTTGCTTTATGTATCTATTTAGTCCTATCAGCATCCACCATATAGGACCTTGCTATGGCAACCACACAGCCCTCCCCTTTTTAAAGTGACACTAAACTCAGGTGTTGAATCTGAAAATGCATTCAAGTATTAACAAAAATTTATCTTATTTGTGTATCACTCGGCTGTAGATCCTCAAATCATCTCTGAATTGGTGCCAACACTGTCCTTCCTTCTGGAGGGTGGCTTCTTCCTGCTCCATGGTCCCTGTGTGTGTTGTAAAGTAGCCACCGCTCCAAGCTGCCTCCCGTGATGGACTACAATCTCACGTTTAGTTCACTAATTTGTATTGAGAATGTAGTCCATAATGGGAGTGAGCTTCGATTGATGGATACTTTACAACACACACAGGGACCATGGGGAACAAAAGTAGTCACCCTCCAGAAGGAAGGACAGTGTCAGCACCAATTCGGAGATGATTTGAGGATCTACAGCCAAGTGATACACAAATAAGATACATTTTTGTTAATAGTTACGGTACTTGATAGTATTTTTGAGATTCAACTCCTGAGTTTAGTGTCACTTTAAGATATAAAGTTGAGGATGCAACGATAATGCTGCCTTAATTATAAATACAGGTTACACTACGAAAAACATTCATACTGATTGTGTAAATCCCATTTATGATAAAAACAAACATGACTACAGAATCCATGCAGCTATATGCGCTTATCAAAAAGGGTACCATTTTGGTTCCTGTAATAATAAAAACATGATCTTATTGCTGAAAATTACCTTCATCTGCCTGCTAAGGATTTTTAGTTGTCTCTCCAGATCTTGTTTTTGTTCTTCCAGTTTGTCAACTTTGTCTAAACAATAAAAACAAGTTTCAATTTGCATGGTTGCACGCTGGATATATTGACCACTATCAAATGCAGTTTAAAGCTTTGACCAGAGGATGGAGGTATTTCCAAACTAATAACAAGGAAATGACTTGCAATGCTGGAGAGAACACGCAGAGGCTTCGGTACATCACATAAAATAGCAAGACTTTGTAAAAATATTGTATAATAACTGTAACATGAAAATATAATGTTTATCCAAAGCACTATACATCACAATACATGCACTATACATAAATCTACCTGTTTATAGCTATTATTTTTATTATTATACAGGATTTATATAGCGCCAACAATTTGCGCAGCGCTTTACAAAATGGGGGAGACAGTACAGTTACAATACAATTTTAGTACAATAGGGTTAGGAGGGCCCTGCTCGTGAGAGCTTACAATCTAGTAGGAGGGGCAAGTGATACAAAAGGTTATAATTGTCTGGATTGAGTTATTGGAAGAAGTAAAAAGCAGTTCTGTTGAGGTGAGATAGGGTTCCCTGAAGAGATGAGTTTTTAAGGATCGCCTACAGGTGGGCAGCATGGGAGATAAGGGGACAGATTGGGGTAAGGAGTTCCGGAGGTGAAGAGAGACCTAGAGATCAGGAGATCTTGAGAGGATGGTTTGGGTGATATTTTGAGATGAGGTCAGTGATTTAGGCGGGGGCGGACTTGTAGATGGCTTTGTGTGTTGTTGTTAGGATTTTGAATTTTATTTGTTGGGCAATTGAGAGCCAGTGGAGGGATTGGCAGAGAGGGGCAGCAGACACTGAGCGGTTGGTAAGGTGGATGAGTTTGGCAGCAGCATTCATGATAGACTGAGGGGGGATAGCCTGTTTAGTGGTAGGCCAACAAGGAGGGAGTTACAGTAGTCGAGAGATTACAAAGGGAGTGAATTAGAAGCTTTGTGGTTTCGTTTGTTAAAAATGGGCATATTTTAGAAATGTTTTGGAGGTTGAGTCGGCAAGATTTGGATAGTCATTGGATGTGGGACTGAAAGGAGAGCTCAGAGTCAAGGTTTACACCGAGCACCCTGGCTTGATGAGGGGGGGTTGATCATCGTGTGGATTGTGATAGCCATTTCGGCCAGCATGCCCAAGGCTGATCCTTCACTATTTAGTGGATGACAGGGACGCCTAATGACTTCTTGCATCTTTCATAGTGGCGTTTCTGAGTTCCTTGAACTGCACAAGGACCATTGCCACTATTAAGAGGTTTCACTTTCCCTGTTAAAGTTCTGTTTTGACTTCTATTATGGAGCAGTGAGGATAACTAGAACTCCACCCATAACTAAAATATAACTTTTGGATTAAATGGCCTTTTAAAACATTGAAACAAAGCATGGGAGCACAGTGGTCTAGTGGTTAGCACTTCTGCCTTGCAGCACTGGGGATCCCTGGATCAAATCCCAGTTAGGACACTATCTGCAAGGAGTTTGCGTGGGTTTCCTCCAGGTACTCCAGTTTTCTCCCACACTCCAAACACATGCTGAAAGGTTAATTGGCTCCTGTTTAAATCAGCCCTGTATACGTTTAGTTTAAGTAATTTTATTTTTATACCCTCCCCCCCACTTTCTAGGTGAGATACAGACTTTAGATTGTAAGCTCCTAGAGTGCGGGGACTAATAACAATGTGTAAAGCACTGTGTATATTGTCGGTGCTATATAAATACCAATAATAAATAAATAATACCATCAAGTATAACTCTTCAAACAAATTAAAATGGCAGATACTTGTCTACTAATCAGTAGTTTAAAGTCTACCAGTAAATGGCATTGCAGTCCACAAGTAAATAGCATTGCAGTATGACTAGAACACACTGGAGGGATTATATCTCCCAGATGACCATGGAGTATACCTGGGAAAGCTGGAAGCTGTTGCTGGGCAAAGGAAAATAAGCTCAGTTCTGATCCCACAACTTTTATTAAGAAGGATACTGAGCCAGACAAAATACTATTTAGTTTGTCGCTGATCATACAATCAATACTGTTATAGTTATAACTTGATTCTAAGGATAATCACCAAGCCATGCTTACTAAGGACAAATCACTGAGAACCAAGAGAAAGAGTCATCTATGTATACACAAAAAGAAGCAATTCTAATGTGGACTTTTGTGTTACTCAAGATATAGGGTCATACACATTCATTTAAAATATCACTAATGTAAAACATTTCCATTTAAAATATATGCACCAGCTACCATCATAGATGCATGAAAATGGCTACAAATACAAAATTATTAAAAACAAATTCTCCATGCATATAGCCCCCCTTAAATATCACAACGTCTTGTTGTACGTAAATTATGTTTTTAATCTCATCCCATCTGTTAGATCAAATCCATAGGTATCCACCAGCGATATGAGGGTAACAAAGCGTGTTTTGCTCTTCTTTTTCGCTTCGTGGCTACAATGCCACTTCTTCAGAAAAAAGCTTATATATTTTAGCTTTGGGCAGTATGTGATAGAGATCAGGATGCATACCTACAGATTTTCCTGATGCAAATAGTGAGAATAGGGTCTTGTCTTATGCAAGACATAGTTACATAAAGCAAGAGTTTTTTAGCGAGGGAGGGGAATCATCTGTTCAGTTCATCTGAAGCTTCTTTTAAAAATGGTAAAACAGTGCATGGAGTACAGCTTGTGTAGCATATCCACTTATAGTTGAAAGCTTGCTCACTTAATACTTTGATTGTTTTAGAAGTTTATTTTACTAAACACATTTTGGCATACACAATTTATGTTAAGGAATCTGGGATAATCAGGTTTCTGGGCTGATGGAACCGATTTTGGGAGACTGAAACAAGCATGAGAAAACAAATTGTTTATTGTGATCTATGGTCCACCAGCTCATTGGTTCTCAGAACTGGACATCCCTTTTCTGCTACAGACGGAAATATAATTATTGCTCTACTTTGAACATCAAAGGGAAAAAAAGTCCATTGCTAACTTCCTGCCCGAAAGCTTGATCTTCAGTAGAAGGTTTTGTCTTGCAATTGAAGCTTTTTAAAAAGGGATAATTTTGTTTCAGCTGTACAGCCTACTAAGCTTGCACAGTTCTGGGAAATAATATGAACTGGCTTAGAGCGTTCCAGTAGTCTTGATAAGTTTACTAAACTGGTTAAGATTTGCACAATAGAGTCGTTCTGTAGGTTCGGGAGGGCTCGAAGACAAAGCTGAAGTGATCTGCAGTCACTTGGAAGTACCTGCTATGGTTAGGTTTATTTGTCAGGACTATGGGGTCTCTTTAAAGTGCATGTGCACTACAATGAACAGTATCAAGTTAAAATAAGCACTGGAAAGTTGACACTTTATACTTTATCAGTTTAAACCCTGTTACGGCATTTGTAAAGACTGAATATTTTTGTGCCGTTTTACATTTATTACACCAGTATAGTTTAGGCAAGAATACCATGAGATAGAATAGATAAATAAGATGCACATGCATAGAAGAGTTTATTCTTTTATCTAGGGATGCACCAATTCTAGTATCGATATCGGCGCTGATACCGAGTATTTGGGCGAGAACTCGTACTCGCCCAAATGCTCCGATGCCTAGCACGAGTACTTCCTGTATCAGGAAGTCGGGCAGCACGTCATTACACGCTGCCCGGGTTTACTGATTGGCCGGGAAGAAGCTCCATGCTCTCTCGTCACTTGTAATGAGAGAGCATGGAGCCGACTTTCCGGCCAATCAGGAAGCCGGGCAGCGTGTAATGACAAGCTGCCCGGCTTCCTGACTGGTCGGGAAGCTGGCCAATCAGGAAGCCGGGCCCCGTGTAATGACGCAGGGCCCGACATTCTGATTGGCCGGGAAGCTGGCTTCATGCTCCCTCGTCATCTCATGAGCACAGTGAGGCATTTCAGAAGTTTCTGCAGGTGGAAAAATAACTGGAGATCTGTATAATGATAGCTAAAGATCTATTAATGATAGCTAAAGATCTATTAAAGACATTTTTGCATGGATAAAAGTAGGGATGCACTGATACCGGTATTTCTGGGTACCGGAGGAAGGCCATGTTCTGGCTGGAGAGGCCCCAGGGGTGACAGGCTGGACATAACGAGGTAAGAGGGGACAGACTTTCTTGTTAATCGGGAAGCCGGGTTGCGAGTCTTTACACGCTGCCCGACTAATCAGGAAGCCAGGTGGCGAGTCATTACACGCCACCTGGCTTCCTGAATAGGACTTCCGAAATACCGGTATCAGTGCATCCCTACTTTTACCCATGCAAAAATGTCTTTAATAGATCTTTAGCTTTCATTATACAGATCTCCAGTTATTTTTCCACCTGCAGAAACTTCTGAAATGCCTCACTGTGCTCATCATCATAGCATGCTTGAGATGTGAGACGTTATGTTGTACTTGTATCTAATAAAGCAGAAGTACTGACAACATTTAGATCCGGAAATGTCCCCCCCCCTGACCTTATTAGCAGAAACAGCCTGACTGAAGACCATCAGCTACCATCATAAAGATGAAGTCTAAAGCCGCACTATGAACATGTAATACAACAGCAGCTAATTGTACTTACTTTCCAGATCACTGATGAGTTGGTTGTTATGGAGTTTGACAGCACGATGCTGCTCCACTTGATCCTCCAGCTCAAAAATAGTTTCCTTCATGTCCTTGATTTCCGTGTCTCTCTCGATATTCTTCTCCTGAAGCTTCAGATTTGCACATTTTAGTTCTTCCTCTCTCTGGTCTCCCAGTTGCTTCAGGTCATGACACTCAGTTTCTACCTATGGAAACAAAGTATATGCAATCACTCATACACCTCACCAAGTAGACAGACTTCTATTTACAGAGTTACAGAGTTCCTTGTGTTTTTGTACTTTACATCTCTTTAACCCTTAGGGCTCATTGCCTTAGTTCGGCAGCTCTTAGCTTCTTTTGGTCTCATATTATTAATAATAATTGATTCTTTGGGGTAATTTGTTTTTTTGCCAATTAATTGATTAATTAATTGGCGTTTTTCCATTAGCGTAGATGTCTGTCTACTATTCCTTGTGTATTTGCCTTAATGGAGACTGGAAAACCAGGATTTTTTATTTTTTCTTACACACAAGATATTTCAAATATAGTTCAGAATCTCTCAAAAATAGCTTTATTACACCCGTTCCTTTTTTAGTTGGCCAACTCTTAAAGGAGAACTATGAGGAGTGCTTTTCACTCACCTCATAGTTCTAGCCGACCTGTGACAATGAGACTGTCACAGGTCAGCTCAGTAGATCGGGAGGTGAGCGAACACATACCGGCGTTCGCTCACCTCTCGATCCTGTCACGGCTCTCTGCCGTGACAGGGGGAGGGGCTGGATTCCCCCCTCCCCGCTCCAAACCACCAGCGCTGACTGGCGGAATGGGCGGGGGAGGGGGCGGGTACAGCTGGCTCTGCCTCTAGATAAATTCTCCAATTTTTTATTTCATATTGACAGATAAAAAGAGCAAGCTAACAGAATCTGCTGACGCATTTCAGTTTACTCATAGGGCTTTAGTCATAGCACAGACTTGGCTTTAACGTGGTTTTGTTTTTTGGGGTTTAGAATCGCTTTATTGTGGAGGAGCCTCTACTATAAGCATGGTCAGCTGTTATTCTTACATAGCATGGGAATTCTTGTGGTAGCACAGTGCTGCAGGCAATGCAGGCACAGGAGGGCCAGAGGTAAGATACAATTAAAAAGGGACACAAAAACAAGACATTTAAAAAAATAATTTAGTTTTTTTGCATCCTGCATTAGTTTATTACTCCTGCATTAGTTTAGTTTTGTAGCAAACTACAATAAAATATTAGCTCCTGTGACTATCAGGCTAAAAATGCAGTGAAACACAGTCCTGGCAGAACCGATTATTGAATCATTTCTACTTTCACAGACAGAAAAGAATGTACCAGTGCGGAACAGGATAAGGACTCATTCTGACAACATGAAGATTAACAATACCACAGGCTTTGCAGATTCTGCACATTGACATTAAGGTGTGTCCGTCAGGACATGTGGAACAGGCTCAAATATGTAGAGCCCAGGGCTTGGAGCATTACATCATGTATGTTCATCACAATGTGCTCACCAGGATGTAACCAGTGCCAGACACAACCTTCATGTGACATGAAGGAAACATTGAATTCTTGTGATAAGATAAGCAGCTGCTTTATACTCCTCTAACCAAAATAATAATTAGTAGTGTATATAAGTAATAAAATGTAAACCATGGAAGAAAAAAATTCCAGTTAACAGGTTGAAGCCCAACTTCAGCCAAAACGTTTGCTTTAGATTTGGACAGAGCAGGGAAGTGAATCTGTGCCAATTGGTTAGCCGCTGCAAGCAAGGAGAAGAAGACCCCTGTAAGGTCCAAGTCAATTCTGGTCAGAGCTTACACAGTCCACCTACATTTAATCTAGTTTATTTTACTTTGATACCCCTTTTTAAACGTCCCTGACAAGTGATGCCCACCTGTTCATATTCTGCTGAGATGTTTGCTGTGTAGCCTGCTCAGTGCAGCAAAGCCTGTTCTTGAAGATCTTCACTGTTGGGTTCCATTATTTGCGCTATCTCCATCCATTCCAAAGGAGAATTTGTACTCGAGTATGGATATTCCAATGGAATCAATGTAGACTATTGCAGACATAAGAACCTGACAGTTAAGATCTTCAAACCAAGAGCATCAAACCAACAGCTGACAGTCCAAGTATATTTAAACATTAAAGTCCAAATAAGATTAAATAAATATACTAGGATGCTCAACTATAGGTTGAGTGCTCTTTTTCTGCTATATCTCACTGATTTCTACCAAAGCACCCCTAGAGGCTTCTTAATGGTTTCAGATCTGCCAATGCAGAGTCGAAGAACTCTACAATATGGACGCCACTCCCAGCTGTGCATCAAACAGGTGTCAGATCTAGCACTTCCGAACTATACCTAACATGTGATCTAAAAAAGTGGCTGTGTAGTACGAAGCAGGCAGCACAGTGAAGATCTCAGCTGAGCATGGACAGCTGTGTCACCTGTCAAGGGTGGTGAGAAAGGGCATCGGGGCGCACTCCGTGCAAGCCAACTAAAAGTGGATGGAAGGATGAAAAAACACTCACCCAGCTTGGCTGGTTCTCAGAAATATGCACAGTCTGCAGAGAGGGAGAAAGAACACAAATCTTCCTGAAATTCTGTGGCGAAGAGAACTTTTCTCCATTTGTAGGGCCCAGATTAAGGAAAACCAACTAAAAACTGTAGTTTCCTGGTTTTCACACTGATCCAGTGTATTTATTAGATTCTGAGCCACTAATTCAGAAGTATGCAGATGAGAAGTTCTGACTTTAGTTGCTGTGTGTTGATCAGTGGCTCAAAGTAATGAAGCCAAAGTTAGCCAGATATCTAGCATCTTTCAGAAGGAGGTCAGTAACAGCAACCCCCCATATTCCTCTCTGTAAAGTGTTATGGCTACTTCCCCTGTTGGTGACACAGATTGCACCAGTCGATTTTTACCAGAGCTCCTGAGGGTGAAGATGGGTTTTGCTGTATGCGGTTACCAGGGAATGTATGGGGGACTAGGAGACTACAACGCAGAGATGATAGTACACTAGAGAGAGACAATGGAATAGTCGGTCCAGGCAGAGGTTGGCAAGAGGCAAGGCAGCAGAATAGGAAGGTTCAGGCAGATGGTCATAAACAGGCAGCAAGCAAAAAAGTAGTCAAATTGATCCAGGTCAGCAACGAAACAGGCAATTCAAAATGTATCAAAGCTTTCTTGCACAAGCAGGGTAGCCAGGAAAGAAGACCCACCACCAGCCACTTCCATGGCTGGTGCTTAAATACACCTTGGATCAGGGAACACACTCAGCATCATTTCAGGCAGAATTTTTTATTCCTGGCAGGAACTGTGTGAGCACCATTAAAGTTACTGGCAGAAATTCTGCAAGTGCCATTGGAAGTTCTGGCAAGGATTCTGGAAATCCTAGCAGGGATTCCGTGAACACCATTAGCATTACTGGGAAACCTGTGCAACACTGGAAAAACGCTATAAATTATCAATAGAGACCATTCAACCATGTGGTTCTACTCAGTGGCGGACCGATGGAACAATGGGCCCTGGTGCAAGATTTTTTTTTGCCCCGGCTTTGTCCCTGCCCACCTATAGGCGTCACCATTCTGTATTTTTGTACAGTGTATTGCTGGGAGTTGAAGTCCTCTATAGCCATTACCATTCTGCATTTCTGTATAGGGGACTGCAACTCCCAGCAATACTTTATACAGAAATGCAGAAAGGTAACGGCTATAGGGACTACAACTCCCAGCATTACTCTCTACAGAAACGCAGAATGGCAACGGCTATAGGGGACTACAACTTCCAGCAATACTCTCTACAGAAATGCAGAATGGTAATAGCTATAAGGGACTACAACTCCCAGCATTACTCTCTACAGAAACGCAGAATGGTAACGGCTATAGGGGACTACAACTCCCAGCAATACTCTATACAGAAATGCAGAATAATTCCATCAGTTATAGAGGACTACAAAACATGTCACAGAACTTAGGCACATAGAGAAGATGAAATCATCCTTTTAGATTGTAAGCCCTCAAGGGCAGGGCCCTCCTTACCATCTTGTCTTAAATTGTATTGTGACTGTAATGTCTTCCTTATATTGTAAAGCGCTGTGCAAACTATTGGCGCTATATAAATCCTATATAATAATAATAATAATAATCCTCACCTCCTCCTCCGCCACAGGAACACCATGTAGCTGGGAGAGGAGTCGGGCTGTGTGACCAGGAAGCGGCTCGCTGGGTCCTCCCGGCCGAGGCCCCAGCTCTGCCTGCCAGTGTGCCTGCAGGCTGCTCTGCCTCACTGCTGTGCGGCTGTTTGGACGTGCAGCCGGACGGTCGGCCCCCCACCATTTCTTGTCCTACCTTGCCTGAGAAACCCAAATCAAATCAATGTTTGGTGTGACCGCCCTTTGCCTTCAAAACAGCATCAGTTCTTCTAGGTACACCTGCACATAGTTTTTGAAGGAACTCGGCTGCCTCAAATCCTTCTGTCTCTTCATGCAATCCCAGACAGACTCAATCAGGGCTCTGTGGGGGCCAAACCATCACTTCCAGGACTCCTTGTTCTTCTTTACGCTGGCGTGTGATTGGCCCCAAATTTATTCTGCAGCAGGACAACGACTCCAAACATACAGCCAATGTCATTAAGAACTATCTTCAGCATAAAGAAGAACAAGGAGTGCTGAAAATTATGGTTTGGCCCCCACAGAGCCTCGATCTTAACATCATTGAGTCTGTCTGGAATTACTGAAGAGACAGAAGGATTTGAGGCAGCCGACATCCACAGAAGATCTGGGGTTAGTTCTCCAAGAGGTTTGGAACAACCTACCTGCCGAGTTCCTTCAAAAACTGTGTGCAAGTGTACCTAGAAGAACTGATGCTGTTGAAGGCAAAAGGGTGGTCACACCAAACATTGATTTGATTTGGATTCCTCTTCTGTAAATCCCGCGATCGTATGAGAATCGAGCAGTGTGAACGAAGACGTGCGACCGTTTCTACTGTACGGTCGCATGTCTTTTGCCTAAGGAGCACGCTAGAAAACCAGCCGAGAATCGTACGATTTTCGGCTGGTTTGAATGGTGCTCGGGAGACAAATGCCGAACGGGCCGGTGTGCGCACACGCACACTGCCCGTTCAGCATTGCGGTCATCGGAAACCCGCCCCTCAGGGGGGCGGGCTTGCGATGATCAAGAGTACGATCTGCC